ACCTGCAAGAAACGACCCAGTGAAGCCAGGTGGGCGGCGCAGCCAGATCTCCTCGTGCAGGCTGCCCTGTAAGAAAGCTGTACTGAAGTCAAGAGAGTGACGCTCGTAGTCACGCTGAGCAGCGACGTGCAGCAATACCCAAAGAGTAGTCATCTTCGGGGTAGGGGAGAAGGTCTGGAAGAAGTCAACTCCCTGTCGCTGACTGAAGCCTCGTGCAACGTAACGAACCTTGAAGGCAGGCGGAGAACCCGGCGGCCGCTTCACCCTGAAAATCCACATGCCATCGACTATGTTCGCCCCAGGAGGGGGAACTCCATCGACGTAAGTGCCTGTGGACTTCTAGGATGCCATCTCTGCGTCCATGGCTGTCTGCCACTAACAGGAGTAGGGACCCGTAATCGCCTCTGCGTAAGAGCGCAGGGTCGGGATGTCTGGTGCATCCGGGTCTCCCTCAGGTGCAATCAGCATGGACACGAGATGAGGTACAGCAGCTGCAAAATACTCAAAGTCCTCCTGTCTATCCTCAAGGACGTCCATGCCAAGAGCACACTCACCCCCGACGGACGGAGGACAGTCAGACTCAGCAACAAGACAAGCCGCGTAGTCAAGACGAGAGGCAGCAGCAATGTCAACAAGCTCAGCAACTAGGGCAGGCACAGCAGCAGACTCAAACGAAGGGTCAGTGACAACAGAGGCTAGAAGACGTGGGACAGTAGGACTAAGTCGGACTCAGGGTCCGAAACGGAGGACGCAGGAGAGACGGCAGAGGGACACGCAGTGGAAAAGAGGAAGGACGAAGTGCCATATGGTGCGTGCCGAGGACAGGAGGAGGACGCGGACTAGGAACATGACGACCAGTGCGAATAGCGCGAACACGCAAGACAGGACAAGACACAGGCTCACGACGCTCTGTAAGACCTTCGGTCTACTCAGTATAACGAGAAGGAGCAGGCAGTGGGGAGGCTGGCTCTAACGGCGGCCGCGACTGGTCAAGCGGTGGACACAGTAAGGGAGGAGTAAGGCCAGTAGAACACGGGAGACCAAGAACCTGCTGAAGCAGGGGAACGAAGTACGGTCGTGGCAGTCCAGTGTCTCTAAAATCAGCACCAACAGCACCAGCACCCCAAGGGCCAGCGCCTCCAACTCTGGTGTCTCCAGCTCCAGGGTCTCCAGCTCCAACGCCGGCAGCACCACCAGCTCCAGCAGCTCTAGTACCTCCAGGACGACCACCTCCAGGACCAGTAGCTCCAGAACCTTCAGCAGCTCCAGCTCCAATACCTCCAGCTCCAACTCCTGCAGCACCTCCAGCTCCAGGAACTCCAGTTCCTCCAATACGAGCACCTCCAAGACCAGCGGCTCCAGGACCTCCAGCAGCTCCAGCTCCAGTGCCTCCAGCTCCAACTCCAGCAGCACCTCCAGCTCCAGCAGCTCCACTCCGAAGGCGGGTGCGCCGAGCAAACCACTCACGCAGCTGCGGTGGAGAGAGAGACTCCCGCTGCGACAAGGCACCCGGAGGACCTCCAGTAGACAAAGTACCCTCAGGCTCAGCACCCCCAAGCTCAGCACCCCCAGGCTCCGCACGCTCAGGCTCAGCACCCCCAGACCCCGCACCCTCGGACTCAGCACTCCCAGGCTCGCAGGCTCAGCACCCCCAGGCTCCTCACGCATAGGCTCAGCACCCCCAGACGCAGCACCCCTTGCACCACCTACGTCTACAGCGACCTTAACATGCACAGTACCAGGGAGTGGGTCTACCTGAGACACACCTGAGGGAGAAGGACCCTGAGGGGGAAGGGGGTCTACTGGAGGGGGACCTGGAGCAAGGAAGAGCGGCGGGGGTGGGAGAGGGGCAGAGTGGTAGGGGAAGAGACGATAAAAGGGAACTGACACGTCAAACGTGACATCCTGAGAGGGGAGGACACGGCGCGAGTTGGGGTGGTAAAACTGCCAGCCAGGCGCGTCAGGGGGAAAGCCAAGGAAGACGCAGGGAATAGCGCGGGCGGAGAGCTTGTCCGCGGACGTATCGCGAACAAAGGCACGAGAACCCCAGACCCGGAACACCGACGCATCGCCAACCTTCCCCGTCCAACGCAGTGTAGGCAAGGTCTCCGGCAAGGAGACACGGGGCCAGATGTTGAGCTGATGCGCAGCGTACTGGACTGCAAATGGCCACAGAAAATGGGGAGCAGCCGCATGGATCATGGAGGTACGAGCAACCTCCATGACTAAGCCAACGCGGCGCTCAGCAATCCCATTTTGCTGCGGGGAGGCCGGAAGCGTGAACGACTGGAGAATGCCCACGACAAAAGTCCCGCAAGAGGTCGGAGGAAAACTCACCACCTCTGTCAGAGTGTAGACGCAAGACAAGAAGGTCCGCACGGAACTGCTCGCAAAGCTAGAGACAAACTGCGCGGATCCAAGGGATCAAGACATCAGGGACCTCACCCTTGCTGCGCAAGGGGAAGACCGACGTGTAACGCGTGTAGTCGTCAACAACTAGCAGGAAGCAGCGCTCGCGATCCTGTTTACTAACGCGGGCTGGGCCACACACGTCCATGTAGAGAGTCTGCAGGGGAGCAGTCGTCGGAGGAAACGAGGAGTGAGGAGCGGCACGCTGCCGCCCCTCGACGCAAGGAAGACAGGGCGGGGCAGGCGAGGGCGGGAGGGGAGGCAGAGACCAGGGAAGACCAGAAACAAGGAGGCGGGAGTGCATGCCACGAAGGCGTGGCAGGGAGGGGAGACCAAGGCAGTGATGCCACAGGAGGGTCTAGTGCGACAGGAAGCGACACGAGCAGGGGGGTGCTACCGGACCTGACGCGGACACCTGGGCAGATGCAGCTACTTGAGGAGGCTCGGTAGCCATTGTGTACAGACTCGACCCAGGCCGACGGGTGAACGTGGCCAGGTGACGGCCCGTCCGTGTACACGTGCAGATTGACATACGCAGACCCCCAGGAGTGGTGGTAGTGAACATCGCATCCTGGAGGGCAGCGGTACTCACCAAGTTCATAGAGAACGAGGGGAGGTGAAAACTTGAGAGTGAGCCGGACGGAACCGCCGGACACGGGAGAACAGTGGAGGAACGGGCAAGAACTGGGCCCCCTGAAGGGTCAACCAGTCTTACCGGTACAGGTGCATAGAGAGGAGTGAGGGTGGTGCTGTCGCGAAAGAAACAGCGGGAAGCACCTGAGTCAAGCGTAAAGGTTTGCAAGGCCTCAGCAGGCGCAGTACCAGGGAGAGCAGACTCACTAGCACCTAGATCAGCAGCCTCTATACCTGGGTCAGGCGGCAGACACTGGTAACAGTCACCCTTAGCACTAACAGACAAGGCATACATAGCAGCAAGGATAGCATCATAGTCAAGATAAAAGATAGCAACGCCAGACCTAAGCAGCTCTGCCCAGCGAGGGCGCTCGGCCTCGTCACCAAACTCTGCACGCCAAGTGTCGTCTAGGCGAGAGAAGCAGCGGTGCCGAGTGTGAGGCTTCCCGCATGTCTGACCAGCACGGTCACCGGTGCGAATGACATACGGGCAGCTAACACTACCCTCAGACGCCCCACGCTGAGCAACCCACTCACGAAGCTGCTGGGGTGAACGGTTCTCGCTCCGACGCTGCTGCTACTGCCTCTGGCCACCGCCAGAACCTCCCCTCTGAACAGCTCCACCCCGACTGCCACCACCCCCGCCGCCGCCACTACCGCCACTCCCACCGCTGCCACCACCGCCGCCACCAAAGCCTCCACCCCCTCCACCACTCCCACCACTGCCACCACATCCACTACCTCCACCACCACTCCCGCTGCCCCCACTACCACCCCCGCTGCCACCTCCACCACTCCTGCCACCCTTGCCCTTGCTGCTGCGGCGCTTCGACGTCCTCAGAAGCAGCCCCGACGTCCTCAGCACCAAAGACGTCAACAGCAGCAGCAGAGGCGTAGGAGGGGGCAAGAGGGGAGGGGGAACACCCCTCAAAGAAGGGCGTGCGAGGAGTGCCACGAGCAGTGCCTACAACAACTACACTAGTCTCAGCTGCAAGGAGGTGCTGTTCGAGCAGGTCAACAGTGAGGTCTGTGGGGTCAAGTGCGAGAATGTGGTCCCTGACTACGCGAAGAGAGTCAGGGAGTCGGGTGGCTATGAAGTAGAGAGTGATGTACATCGGAGGGGGGTTCCTGGCCAGGAACTCCGCTGGGAGGGCAGCGCGGTAGCGAGCGTCGCTAGTGCGAAGGTGGGAAACGAGGTCCTCTACTGTGGTAAAGGCAGACAGCTCGAGAAACAGGTAGGGAATGTTAGAATACTAGCCAGACTTAGGAGCCATGGCTAGTGAGTGTCGAGAGAATTGAGTGTCGAGAGAATTGGAAAAGAGAATGAGGGGTTTCACTATAGAAAGTTGGGATACAAATAGCAAACCCTAAATTGGGTTGTACTCACTACAGAGTACCCCAGTGCAGGCTAAACAGCAAATACATTCTGACACACCCCCATAGTCAAAGTGGGGTATAATCAGCAGAGCAAGCAGTCATAGAGCAGGTTCACAAGTACAAGCAAAGCTAGAGGCATACACAAAGGACAAGTGAGGAGGAGGCTGGACTGTGAGAGGAGAGGAGATAGGAGGCGACTGCTGATGCTGCAGACACTCGGGCAACAGGAGCAGCGCGCACTGTGGCTACCAGGGCCGTATCCCCGGACTACAGGAGTAACTGGCTCTGCGGCTAACACTGAGCGGCAGGAGCAACGGACCCACAGGCGACTGGTGCAGCAGGCTCGTTGGGCTACCGGAGATTGTAGCCTCCGGACTACTGGTGCTGCTGGCGACACGACGGCTACCTCCGCTCAACCTCCCCCAACTGACCCACCCCCCTTTCACACACCCCTTGCTGCACCCCTAGCTCCACTCCCACATCACCCCCCTAGCACCACTCCCTCGGCTCCCACACATCCACCCCCCTCAGCGGCAGCTGCAGCAGTGGGAGACTAAGGTGGAGGAGGAGGAGGGGACGGTTCACACACCCGCCAACCCCATACCCGCCACCCCGCAGTTGCACCCACACCCGCCACCCCCATACCCTCCCCCCACTGCTGCACCTGCAGCAGGGGATGGAGGAGAAGGGGGGGGGGGGGGGGGGAGGGGGGGCTGTGCATGGCGCGTGCAGAGGGCAGCAGGGCGCACGGGGCACACAGGGCAGCAGGGCGCACAGGGCAGCAGGGCAGCAGGGCGCGCGGGGCGCAGCAGGGCTGAAGGGCGCGCGGGGCGCGCAGGGCAGCAGCAAGGGCTGTAGCGGCAACAGCAAGGGCTGTAGCGGCAGCAGCAGGGCAGCAGGGCGCACAGGGCTGCAGGGCAGCAGGGCGCGCAGGGCGCGCAGGGCTGCAGGGCGCGCATGGCGCGCAGGGCAGCAGGACAGCCGGGCGCGCAGGGCGTGCAGGGCTGCAGGGCAGCACAGGGCTGCAGATCCCCTCCCCCCCACCGCTGCACCCGCAGCAGGGGGATGGAGGAGAAGTGGGGGGTGGGGGGGCTGATGCTGCAACTCCCCTCCCCCCACTGCTGCTGCAGATCCCCTCCCCCCCACTGCTGCACCCGCAGTAGGGGTGGAGGAGAAAGGGGGGGGCGGGGGGGGCTGGTGCTGCAGATCCCCTCCTGCCTCCCCCTGAACCTCCAAGCTCCCCCCCCCTCCCAATACAGGGTGCGGCAGGGAGAGAGAGAGGAGAAAAGGGCGGGGGGGGAGGGGGGGGGGGGGGCTGATGCTGCAAATCCCCTCCCCCCACTGCTGCTGCAGATCCCCTCCCCCCCACTGCTGCACCCGCAGCAGGGGTGGAGGAGAAAGGGGGGGGGGCGGGGGGGGGGGCTGGTGCTGCAGATCCCCTCCTGCCTCCCTCTGAACCTCCAAGCTCCCCCCCCCTCCCAACACAGGGTGCGGCAGGGAGAGAGAGAGGAGAAAAGGGCGGGGGGGGGGGGGGGGGGGGGGGGGGGCGGTGCAGGAGCCGCTCGGGCAACAGCAGGACGCGCCACACCCGCCACCCCCATACCCTCCCCCCCACTGCTGCACCCGCAGCAGAGGGATGGAGGAGAAGGGAGGGGGGGGGGGGGGGGGGGCGGGGGGGGGGCTGCTGCTGCAGATCCCCTCCTGCCTCCCCCTGAACCTCCAAGCTCCCCCCCCCTCCCAATACAGGGTGCGGCAGGGAGAGAGAGAGGAGAAAAGGGCGGGGGGGGGGGGGGGGGGGGGGGGGGATGATGCTGCAAATCCCCTCCCCCCACTGCTGCTGCAGATCCCCTCCCCCCCACTGCTGCACCCGCAGCAGGGGTGGAGGAGAAAGGGGGGGGGGGTGGGGGGGGGGCTGGTGCTGCAGATCCCCTCCTGCCTCCCTCTGAACCTCCAAGCTCCCCCCCCCTCCCAACACAGGGTGCGGCAGGGAGAGAGAGAGGAGAAAAGGGCGGGGGGGGGGGGGGAGGGGGGGCGGTGCAGGAGCCGCTCGGGCGACAGCAGGACGCGCCACACCCGCCACCCCCATACCCTCCCCCCCACTGCTGCACCCGCAGCAGAGGGATGGAGAAGGGGGGGGGGGGGGGGGGGGGGGGGGCGGGGGGGGCTGGTGCTGCAGATCCCCTCCTGCCTCCCCCTGAACCTCCAAGCTCCCCCCCCCTCTCCCACCACAAGGTGCGGCAGGGAGAGAGAGAGGAGGAGGCGTGGCGGCAGCTGCTGCTGCTGAGGCACATCCGCCACCCCCTCACACCCTCTCCCCGCCATCCCCATGGAGGGGGGGGAGGGGGGCGGGGGCGGAGCTGCACGTGCGACTGTAAGGCACGCGGGCAGGAAGAACCCCCTCTTGCCACCCCCTCACCCACCATGTTGCAACAGGGCACCGGGGCCGCGGTTAGGGGCGGCAGGTCACGAGGGCCCATGGCTAGGGGCGACGGGGCCATGGCTAGGGGCGACGGGGCCATGGCTAGGGACGGGGGGGGCGGGCGCCGGGCTTTGAGGTGGGGCCGAGGGGCCTAGGGGCCGCGGGGCCAAACAAGGGGCCGAGGGGGCCTAGGGGGGGGCCGAGGGGCCTAGGGGGGGCCGAGGGGCCAAACAAGGGGCCGGACTCCGGGCTTTGAGGTGGGGCGGAGGGGCCTAGGGGCCGCGGGGCCAAACAAGGGGCCGGGGGGGGCCTAGGGGGGCCGAGGGGCCTAGGGGGCCGAGGGGCCAAACAAGGGGCCGGGGGGGGGCGGGCTCCGGGCTTTGAGGTGGGGCCGAGGGGCCTAGGGGCCGCGGGGCCAAACAAGGGGCCGGGGGGGGCCTAGGGGGGCCGAGGGCCCTAGGGGGCCGAGGGGCCAAACAAGGGGCCGGGGGGGCCGAGCTCCGGGCTTGAGGTGGGGCCGAGGGGCCTAGGGGCCGACGGGCCAAACAAGGGGCCGGGGGGCCGGGCGCCGGGCTTTGAGGTGGGGGCGAGGGGCCTAGGGGCCACGGGGCCAAACAAGGGGCCGGGGGGCCTAGGGGGGGGGCGAGGCGCCAAACAAGGGGCCGGGGGGGCCGGCGCCGGGCTTTGAGGTGGGGCCGAGGGGCCTAGGGGCCGCGGGGCCAAACAAGGGGCCGGGCGCAGGTGTTGTCGTGGGGCCGGGCGCTGGGCAGGAACGGGGCCGGGCGCTGGGCAGGTACGGGGCCGAGCGCTGGGCAGGTACGGGGCCGCGCGCTGGGCAGGTACGGGGCCGGGGCGCGGGCTAAGTAAGTGAGTGCATTCGGCTAACGGCAGGTGGTTGCGAATGGCTAAGCAAGCAGCAGCGTCACGGGTAAGCCACTGTGAGCGAGTCACACTATCAGCTGTGGCGGGAGGTGCGAGAGAGGCTCCAGACGTGTGGTCAAACAACGAAACGCTGTCTCTACAGTCACTCAGTAGGTACAGCTGTAAGTCATCGAGCCACGTGTCGAACTGGATCAGACGGCCCTCATGATTGAACGTGAGGACACGGAGAGAAGCGATAGCGGGCAGAGTAGGGTGGCGCGCTGGCGCACGTCTATGGTGGCCAGCAGCAGGGCATGCAGGAGCCGGGCGGTGCAAGCAGCAGGGGGGGGGAGGGGGGGCGGCGAGCGGGCTGCAAGTGGCGGCGCGCAGGCTGCAAGAGGGGCGGCTCTCAGGCTGCAAGGGGCGGCAAGTGGGCCGCAAGGGGGTGGCGAGCGAGCTGTAGGGGCAGCGAGCTGGCCGCAGGCAGGCAGCGAGCGGGCTACAAGGGCGGCGGGTGGGCCACAAGTGGGCGGTGTTGTGCCAAAGCACTATAGTGGCACGGTCATCGCACTCCCATTCCGCCTACAAGCCTGCTCAGCTACTGGAATTTTTTGGGGTGGTGCTTCAACATGTGTTCTTCAAACCCTCAAAGTTTCAGAGTTTTTGAAGCAGTTTACAAGGCATGGCAACATTTTTTGTTTCAAGACTTATGGCATCCCGGAAGTGTGTGTTACTCTTTTTTGGTAACACCCGAGTTCACCATTTCGGCTGCTGACTCATCTACCAAGCTCTGATTAGTCTGAAAATCGGTGTGGCAGTCCTTTGCTAAGTTGTGCAGGTGGTCACCGAGTTTCAGGACAACCCAGAATCGGAGCAGCACGTGACAGCTGTCGAAAGTTACTGTTCCGTAGTCATGGTGCACTGTTGGCAGCATTTCCCTTGCCACCCTTTCATTGTTGTCATGCCAATGGTGTAGGGACAGAGAATGAGACAAGAAGTACAGGTGGTCAAGTGGGACTCTACCACCCTCCTTTTGAGAAGTGTGGTCTTCCTGGAAGCAGCTTGCAAGAGGGTGCAAGTGGGAAGACAAGCTGACTCATGGTTGGCTTGACTCACTATTGGTAGCCTTGAGTACAGCCCTGAACATCCAAGTGTGGTTGGCTTTGCTGACCTAGCTAGGACGTTTCCCATCCTTCTCTAGCCTTTCTCCCCTAGGACTAAACCTTCTCTGAGTTCCCAGGATGGTCCCAACCCCTTAAGAGTCCCCTAGGCAATGTTGTACTCAACCTCTTCCTTGCATCAATGAAGCTACTCGTTTTTCAGCCGAGCTTACGTTTTTGTTCACTGCTTAGCGCATACACCTCTGATGAAAGCAATCCATATACCGTTGGAAAGCAGACACCTGAAGCTAACGTATGTTATCGGAGATGATCGTGACGACGTTTTGAACAGAGGCGGTTCGAAGTCATCAGATTCTGCTTAGGTGGTTTCAAGGGCATCTACGACCCCTAAGTGGACTCTAGACTATAACAAGTGGTATCAGAGCGGTTCTTCTCTGTTCCTGGGTCAATATGGAGGCTGAAGGTTCTGCTCCAGCTGTTCCTAGTGGCAGTGGTGGCGTGAGAGGCGCTGGGGAAGCAGGAAGAGGCGTTGTAGGCGGATCTGCACCAATAGCATCCGTTTCAACACCAGCCAAGGATGATGTGAAGGCATTCAACCTAGAGAAGTTCTCTGTGGAGGATTGGGCATCATGGAGCTTCAGGATGGAGCTCCTATTTAACCATTATGGGCTGCTTGAAGTGATGGATGGAGAATTGAAGAGGCCTGCGAGCGAAGGAGCGACCAAGGAATGGGATCGTCGATCCAAGGATGGATTCTTCCTTCTCTCTCAATGCCTCTCATCCAACCAGCTGCACCATGTCAAGCATCTCATCAAGGATATCCAGTGTGGTCCCAAGGAATGGAAAATATTGAAGGATGTCCATGCCCCCAGCAGCGAAGCGATGGTGGTGGTGCTCGAGCGACAACTCCATGCGGTGAAGATCAACGAGGGTGATGCCGTGCAAGGAGCGTTCGATCAACTCCGGGACCTCTATGTGAAGCTCTCAGCTGCTGGTGTGGACTACCCTGAAAAGATCAAGTGCTACAAGGCTCTCTCCCTGCTTCCGGAGTCGTGGGGTCCCTTGGTGGTCAACCTCAACGGCATGAAGAACTCATGGTCCCTTGAGTGGATCCGTGCTCAAGTCCTTCAAGAGGAGTTTCGGAGGAAGGAGCTGACTGCCGCTGCCGGTGAAGGTGGAGGCTCTGCCTACGGCATGAAAGGGTTCAAGGGACGTGGCAGCAAGAAAGGCAAGGCCAAGGAAGGCTCTGGAGGGGAGCAGTATTCGGGAGGGAAGCGTAGCAACAAGGGAGGCAAGCGATGTGGCGGCAAGTGTTGGTATTGCCATGTGGAAGGTCACCCATGGTTTAAGTGTCGCAAGCTACCTGATGGTTGGAGGCCTGGTCAGCCATCAATTGAAGGCTCTAAGGGTGTTCATGGAGCTATGGGAGAAGGCATGGACAGTGAGGACGGCGATGGGGGTGCCGGCGGACATGGCGGCATGTTCTACCATGTAGGAGAGGCATGCTCCGAGGACATGGTTGTACCGGCCAGCAAGGTTGCTCTTCACCGTTCCTCCCATTGGGTCATCGACACAGGAGCCTTCATGACCATTACCAACCGAGAGGATCTGCTAGATGATGTCAGGCCATCAAAGGCAGCCACCGTTGTTTCAGCCACCGGCCAAGTTGTACCCGTGCGTGGCGAGGGGAGAGCCATGTTTATGGGTGCGGATGGGAGGCTTGTGGGGCTGAAGCGTGTTCTTCTTGTCCCTGGACTATGTGCCAACCTTCTCTCTACCAAGGCATTGAGTGAGGCAGGGATGAAGATGGAGATGATGGGCACAAAGGTGTTCAAGGCAACTCTGATGGGCGCGTGTTGTGGGACCTCCGAGGCGGCAAGGACATGCACCGGTCCATGTGGGAGATACCGGTGCTGCCATGGAAGGAGGCGGCTGCGCGCTTGGCTGCTGAAGCTGTAAGAGGAGGGCATGCAAGCCACGTAACCAGTGGAGGAGGTGGTGATGGCAGTGATGGTGGACTGCTTGTGCATGGGGGGGTTGCGCTACCAAGTGTAACTCCTAGCACGGGTGAGACGGATTGGCTCACCGCACACCGTCGCTTTGGCCACGTGGCGCTACCTCAGTTACAACAGCTGTTTACGGAGGAAAGAGTCAAGGGGCTGAGGATAAAGGGGGAGCCCAAGGAGGTGGGCTCTTGTGAGACTTGCTTGACCAGCAAGTTCTCACGATTTCCCTTCCATTCGACGGTGGGGCAGTCAAGTGACCCGGTGGAGCTCGTGCATGTGGATCTTGTGGGGCCCATGAAGGTGAAGGGAGATGGTGGAGCCCTGTATTCAATGACTATGGTGGATGATTGCACAAGGCTCACCTGGTCTTTTCCACTTGCAAAGAAGAGTGATGCTGCAAGGGTCATCATTGAAGAGTGGCTGCCCATGGTGGAGCGAGAGAGCGGCAAGCGGGTGAAGGCGATTCGTAGCGACCGTGGTGGGGAGTTTTTGGGAGCGGAGTTCCGGAGCTGGTTGAAGCGGCATGGCATCAAGCAGCAGCTCACCACGGCCTACACCCCTCAGTCCAACGGCGTGGCAGAGAGAGCGAACCGGACCATCATAGAGGGCGGGAGAACGATTTTGGTGGACTCGGGTCTACCCTTGCGGTTCTGGCCCCTTGCTATTCGTCATGCTACCG